ATATATATATATATATATATATATACAGTTTCTTTTTAAATCCTCGCACGTCACGTTACAATTATGGAGTGAAAAACTAGAGGATTATATCTTTTCCAATAGAACGATTTTTCTTCTGTATACTAACATGTCATTAAAATAAGTATATTAAATAAATATTGAGAATTTCTTACATTTCTTATATATTTCTCTTTTTGTATATCTTTTATTTTTTAACTTTCAATTTTTGTTTTGATAATTGTGCACTTTGTGTTATATAATTGTATAATTTCTAGATGAAAATTAAAAAACATTCTCTTCCTCTCTCCTAACAACTTTGGATATGTAGTTTCTCAAGTTTTTTCACTCCATCAATGTGCGAGAAATGTAACGAAGAACCTTCCTACGGACGTCGTAACAATTGCACGTTTTGTACGGATCAGCACAATCAATAAAATTTTCCATCATCGTAGAATTAAATCGATGAGAAAACTTAATGTCACTTTCGCACTTACTGCGCGCGACAAAATATTTCAATTTTTGTTTGTCGCGTAAATTTCACAGAATACGCACCTCGATTGCACGCGATCGACTTAGAAAACTTAGCTGCTGCTAAATCTTTCTCGATCGGACGTCACAGACTCTGATTGCTTTTAGTGCTTTTTTTAACATCATTACGTACCAGCAACTTGAAATGTTGACGAAGAAATATTTGACATTGTGTTCAAATACAATTTTGTTCAGTGTACAATATTTTATAAAATACAATTCAATGTATGTGTGTGTGTGTTTTATATATGTATGTATTATAGCTTCTTATTTTATACTTTAGCAAACAAATTCATTTACAAAAACTGCTTTTATTCTTAAGAGTAGAAAGAATTTGTTGTACCATAGTTCGTATATTGAAAAATAAAAAATACAACCTTTTTGATTATTAGATTGCGAAATTTTCAAATTGCCTTCGCAATATATTACAGTACATTATGACGACAAACGTAAAAGAATGTGTGCAAAGTTGCTGGTACTAAAAAACTAAGAAACGACAAATGAAATGAGAAAAACAGTTCAAACACGATATAAAATCCTTGCTAGTCTATTCTTCTTGTTTTTAATAAAGATTTTTTTATAAAGATAAGAAGAAAAACTTGTTCGACGACGCGTCGGTCGCCTCGCAATGCGAGAAACAAAAAGGAACGAAATACCTTCACCTTTTTAATAATATAATGTAATCTGGTTCTCTCTTTAAATGTGCACGTAATGCATATATAAATTCGCGCGCAAACGTAGTTTTTTCTGTTTTTTTTTTTTCTGTAATATAAACGATGGCACGCCGCTTCATCACTCATGAGTATTTTAATACGCGTATAAACTTTCCTTACATACAGCGAGATTAAAACGATATTTTTTTTAATACAAAATGAAAGAAGAGATAGTATTAATAATAACTAATAACTTTATAGTAAATAGTAGTTAGTGATAATAATTAAACAGAGAGAAAGAAAAAACAAGTTGTCTAAAAACTCGTTTTTTAAGATATTTTCAGAAGGAAAAAATTACATGAGTAAATAAATACAGCTTCTTATACAATTGATCGTCATAAATAAATAAATGCGGCCCGGAGCCGCAATGTGTGTGTATGTGTGTGTGGAAAAGGATAAAATAGGTAATCGTGACGATTGACAGTGTAACACGATGAGTCCTATAAAAAAAGAATTATATAACAAATTGCGCGTAGATACGCGCGCACTTAATGTGTATATAACGTGTAAAAAAATATAATAAAAAACATCTTTGCAACTAACTTTAACTTGTTTAAGCATTGAAAAATACGCATTGCCTTTTTCTGCAAAAATGAACAGAAACAACAAAAATATGAGTGTGAATTAAAAAAAAAACATCATATCATGATATTCTGTACATGTTTTATATTTTAATTTAAAACCTGCTATAAGTGACAGCGATAATATATATATTATACATACATACATACATATATATATATGTATATGTGTGTATATATATACATATATATATGTGTATATATATATATATATATA